GCTCACAGCAACCTCAAACTCCTGGGCTCAAGCGATCCTCCTGCCTCAGCCTCCCGAGTAGCTGGGACTACAGGCATGCGCCACCATGCCCAGCTCATTTTTTCCATATATATTAGTTGGCCAATTAATTTCTTTCTATTTTTAGTAGAGACGGGGTCTCCCTCTTGCTCCGGCTGGTTTCGAACTCCTGACCTCAAGCGATCCACCCGCCTCGGCCTCCCAGAGTGCTAGGATTACAGGCGTGAGCCACCGCGCCCGGCACAGTTTTTTCGATATATTTTTAGTTGTCCAGCTAATTTCTTTCTCTTTATAGTAGAGACGGGGTCTCACTCTTGCTCAGGCTGGTCTCGAACTCCTGGCCTTGAGCGATCCTCCGGCCTCGGCCTCCCAGAGAGCTGGGATTATAGACGTGAGCCACCGCACCAGGACCCGCTGTTTTCTTTTTTAAGGGCGTTTGGCAGGCGCGGGGCTTGAGTGGACTGGGATGGTTCTGTGGCTGGTGGGCCGCACCTTCCCGCAGCCCGTGACTGCTCTGAGACTGGACCACGCGGGCCGGCGCTGTAGTCGGGTCGCGGAGAGCCAGCCGCACAGGCGTGGGGCCAGACAAGCTCGGAGAGAGACGCAGAGAGACAGACACTCACCTCGTCCTGGTCCCGCATGGCATTGAGCTGCTCCAGCTTCTTGGCCCAGTAGCGGGCCTCCTCTTCGGGGATGTCTGCAAGGAGCCAGCGGCCGGCCGTGAGCCTGGAAGCCCCCTCCGGCCCGGCCTCCATCCTGTGGGGCTCCGGGGCTCCAGCCCCGCCCGGCTTGCGGGCTCTCGGGCAAAGCCTGGGACTGCAGGGTGGGTGGACCCCAGGCTCGGGAGGGTGGGGGAGTGGAAGGGGCCTAAGGGACAGCCCGGACCCCCGCCCCCACCCAGCTGCCTTGGGAATGAAGGGAAGAGGAGGGGGGCTGGGGCCGCATCACCAGGTGGGGAAGCGGGGTGGGGGGGTGTTTCTAGAAGGATCCTGCAGAGGCGCTTCTGTGAAAGGCAGAGGGGACTCCCTGCCTCTGTCTCTGCGTGCCCCTGTCTCTCTCTGTCTCTCTGTCTCTGCCGGCCCCCAGCTCTCCCCTACAGCCTAAGGTGTCACCAAGAGCCAGCAGGGACAGCTCAGATTCCAGTCCCGGGGTTGAGAGGCGCCTGCCACCCCTTGCACCCTCCAGGGGCTGGGACACGCGCTGCGTGCAGCAGTGTGGCAGGCTGGGGCCCTGCAAGCTGGTAAACTCTGCAGGGGCGGGGCCTGGCGGGCAGGGGTGCGGGGCCGGGGCGGAGGCCTTGTGGGCGGGGGCCGAGGCCTGGCAGGTATGGGGTGGGACGGGCAGGAGGGGGCAGGGCAGCGGCTGACAGGGCTTGGCCTGGCAGGTCCAGGGGGCAGGCCAGGGCGGGGCCTGGCGGCAGGTGGCGGGCCTGATGGGCAGGGCGGGCTGGGCCGGGACGGGGCGGGGCCGGGCTGGCCGGAGGCGGGCGGTCGGAAAGGGGGTGAGCCTGGCAGGGGGCGGGGCCGGCGGCATGGGCAGGGCTGGCGAATAGAGCCGCGGGGCCCTGGCGGAGGGCAGGCTGGCGGCAGGGGCGGGGCCCAGGGTGGCAGGGGCGGGCCGGGCGAACAGGGCGCAGGGCCTGGCGGTCCGCGGGGCGGGGCCTGAGGCGATGGGCGGGGCCTGGCGGGCAGGGGGGGGCCCAGTGGGCAGGGGCAGGGCTGGGCGAACAGAGGCGCGGAGAGCCAAGGTGGGGCCTGGCAGGCAGGGGGCGGGCCTTAACAGGGGGCGGGGCCTGCCGGGGGCGGGGCCGTGCCGGGGCGGGGCTCACTCACCCAGGGGCAGCTCGAAGCGCGTGTCGAGGAGGATGCGGTGGAAGGTGGGGTCCTTGGTGCCGCAGATCTCGCTGTCCGCCATGATGACCTGGGAGTCCAGCGTGAGCCACTCTCCGGGGCCCTCCTGGGGGCCGGGGGACGCGTGGGGGTCAGGTCCCTGCCGCACGCCGGCCAGCGGGCCCACTCGCCGGAGACGGCCCGCCCGCCCTGCCCTGGGGACGGGGCTCACGTGCCCACTTTACACAGGGAGACCCAGGGAGAGAGGGCCCCGCAGGGCTAGGCGGGAGGGGTCCCGGCCCTGCACGGCCACCCCCCCTGCCGAGGGGTGACGGGTCTCTGGCTCCAGGTGAAAGCCCTGAGCCTCCCAGCGCCCCGCAACGAGCTCCTCCCCCTCGTTTAGAGACGCGAGCCTTTGAGGACGTGGGGTCCACTCTGAACCTCCGTGTCTTCGTCTCTCAAATGGGGATGATCTTCGGCGGAATCTGCTTTCTGCTGAGGAAACTTTGGGTCCCCCTAAGGCTTCTTTCTGCTCTCACTTGCCTGGACTATTGCCTCATTTCCTCCCTCTCCATTCATTCATGCATTCAAAAACAAATGCTCGGCCAGATCGCTCGAGGTCAGGAGTTCGAAACCAGCCTGAGCAAGAGCGAGACCCCGTCTCTACTAGAAATAGAAAGAAATTAATTGGCCAACTAAAAATACATAGAAATAATTAGCCGGGCGTGGTGGCGCATGCCTGTAGTCCCCGATACTCGGGAGGCTGAGGCAGGAGGATCGCTTGAGCCCAGGAGTTTGAGGTTGCTGTGAGCGAGGCTGACGCCACAGCACTCCCTCTAGCCTGGGCAACAAAGCGAGACTCCGTCTCCAAAAAAAAAAAAATGCTCCCTTGTGCCTCGTCCGTGCCTGGTTCCTGGTGGGTGATGTCGGGGTCCCCAAGGGGCCCTAGCCACCAGCCTGGCCCCTGAGGAGCCCATAGACCTGGAAAACTGGAGACAGGCACCCCCAGCCCCGTGAGGTCAGGGCTAGGCCAGAGGGAGGGACGCAGGGGCAGTGGAGAGGGCTTCCTGGAGGAGGGGGCGCTGCTCAATGCTCACATTTCCCAGAATCCCTTGCAGCTAGGCGGGGACGCCTGACACAGTTCTGGCCAATGGGATGTGAGCGAAGTGAAGGGAGCGGCTTCCAGGTTGGGCCCTCCACTGAGAAGGTGGGCCCCTTCCCTTGCCACCCTTCCCTGGCTGGAATGCAGGTGCAATGGTGAGCCTCGTGCAGCCATTTTGGACCACAGGGTGGAAGCCACACAGGGAGGGGGGCAGAGCAACAAGGCGGAAGGAGTTTGGGTCCTGGTGACCCTGGAACTATCGTGGCGACCTAAGACGCCTACGTGGATGCGGCCAGGGGATGCGGGACAAATGTCCACCTTGCTCAGGCCACTGGCATCCCGGTTCTTTCCCAGGCACCCCTCCCCCACTCTGGTCCTGCACGCCACTCACCTCATTGGACTGGCGGATGGTCCGCAGCGGGATCCACACGGTGCCCACCATCGTGTCCCAGATGAGACCCTTGTTCCACACCTCCACAGTCAGCCCCAAATCCAGGCGGTTGATCTCACTGTGGGAAGAAGAGACGGGACACGAAGGGGGCAGGGGGCGGGGGAATGGAGGCTCAGAGAGGTTTACTTCATCTGCCCGAGGACACACAGCACACAGCAATTCAAACCCGGCCCCGGGTGAGCCCTTTAGCCAGCCAGGGTGGTTAACAGAGTGGTTCTCATTTCCCAGAGGGGAAACTGAGGCCATAGGAGGCTGCTACTAGCTCAGGGTGTCGAAGTAGAACCAGGATTCCAAGCTGGGAGGGGAGGGGCGGGGACAGACGTTACCCGGCTCCCGCACCTTCACCTCGAGGCCCCGCCTTGAGCCCTCGGCCCCCCCGACAGCGCTGGATAAGTGAGGGAGGAGCTCAAACACCCTCCATGGCTCCCTTTTACCCCAGGATGAGGGCGGCTGGGGCGCCGCTGGCTCGCCCAGTGCCATCGCCATCTAACCCGGCGAGGAGGCACTGTCCCTCCAGGCCTCACCTGGACTCTGCCTGCCTGGCGCGGGGGTGGGGTGGGAGAGGCCTTGGCGAATGTCCAGTCCGCTGCACCCGCCCCTTTACCAAGGATTTGTCCCAAGGGGTGTCGTCCCTGAACATATCCGCGGACCCTGATCTGGCCACCCGGGAACTGGCTTTCGGTGAGTCGGGGACCGCCCGCTCCCTTCCCTCCAGCCCCAAAACGTCCCTCTCCTGGGGCCTCTCCAGTCCCCCCGGGGACGGTCCCCGGCCAGGCTGTGCTCGGGCCGTAGCCTGGGGGTTGAGGGCTGCCGGGGTCCGAGTCCCAGCTGTGACACACACACGCTGTGTGACACTGAGCAGGTGGCTTTCCCTCTCTGGGTTGCTGTCTTGCCATCCGCACAGTGGGGACTGCAGCAGCGCGGCCCCTCCCGGGGCTGTGATTTAATGGGTGGGTGGGGGGACCGAAAGGCTCGGGACGGGCCAGGGCGGCGGTTTGCAAATGGGGCACGAGACGCCCCGCGCGGCTCCAGCTGAGGGGCAGGTCCAGGTCGTTAAGTCATTCGGTTAACAGACAAACGTCTGTTGAGCGCCTACTGCGTGCCAGCCAGGCCCTGCGGCGGGGGGAGGGTCACAGTGAGGACAGAGACCAGCCCGGCCCCGCCCTGCTGGAGCACGCAGTCCGGCAGGTGTGGCCAGAAATGCGAGAACCCATAGAAACGACTAACAGTGGGTGGCTTGGCCCGGGGAGGACACTGTGTTCTGAGATGGTAGCTTCCGGGAGGTGGTCAGGGAGGGCTTCCCGGAGGAGGTGGCACAGGCTGAGACCCAAAGGACCAGGAGCCAGTGCGGCCGGGGGTGGGGGGGATGCAGCCAGTGCCAAGGCCCTGGGGCAGGAGGAGGGCGCGTGGCGGGGCGGGGGCAGGGCGGGGGAGGCGGGCGGTCGTGGGCAGGAGCCCCGGACAGTTTCGGAGCTTGGGAGCGACAGGATGTGATTTTCAGTTTTAAAAATATCCCCCTGGCTGCCTGGAGGAGAACAGATTGCGGGAGGCGGGTGGCACAGGAGGCCAGGGCGGAGGCTGGCGGGCGGCGGGGACTTGGCTGGTGGCGACTCACAACATGAAGTCCTGCTCCCAGCTGGGCTGGCTGCCGCGCACGGCCACCGTGGTGCTCTTCACGTTCTGCACCTTCAGGGTCACGTACGTGTTGAACTTCTCTGCGGCGACGAGACTGGGTCAGCACCGGGGCTCGGGGACTCTCCGGTGTCCCTCCCCAAGCTCCAGGTGACCGTCCCCACCCCCTGGGCCCCCTGCCCCCTGGCTCCCCACCCCCTGGGCCCCCCGCCCCCTGGCCCCCCGCCCCCTGGGCTTCCCGCCCCCTGGGCCCCCCACTCTCAGGGTGCAGGGGAGCCACGCCCTCCGGCGGCTTAGGAGTGACCCTGGCCAGCAGCCTGGCTTTCCCTGGGGACAGAGGTGGCTGTGAGAGACTCCCGCCACCTCGGTGGGTCTCACAAGCTCAGCGCCCCCCGCCCCCCGGGGTCCTGGGCTCTCGGTGGCCCCGTCCCTGCCAGGGTCTCCGGGGATGGCTGGGCAGCCCTGGGGACGCCCCATGCTGACTGCTGGGCTCCAGGGCTGAGGCCCGGCCTCCCCTGGTCGAACCTCAGACACCCCCCCCCCCTCCTCCTCCTCCTCCCCCCCCCCCCGCGCTCCGCGAACATGAAGCCCGGACCCCTGCCCGGCCTCTCCGGGAGACAGACAGACGGACGGACAGGACAGGACAGGACAGGACAGGACAGGACAGCAGGAGAGTCCACTTACCTTGGGCACCATCAAACTTGGCTTTTTTGACTGTGGAGAGAGACAGAGATAGGGAAGGGGGCCAGGGGGGAGATGTGGGCAGGAGAGAGACAGAGACACACAGAGATGCAGAGAGACACACCAAGGTAGAGACATGCGGTGAGAGAGACAGGCAGGACAGAGACACAGAGACAGGGAGACAGAGAGGAAAGAGAGACACAGAGATCAGGAGACAGAGAGGGGAGAGACACAGAGACAGGAAAGAGAGACAGAGACAGAGAGGGGAGAGACACAGAGACAGGGAGACAGAGAGGAAAGAGAGATACAGAGACAGAGACAGGGAGAGACACAGAGACAGGGAGACAGGTAAGAATCACAGAGACAGAGAGGGGAGAGACACAGAGACACAGAGACAGAGACAGAGAGGGGAGAGACAGAGACAGAGAGGGGAGAGACACAGAGACACAGAGACAGAGACAGAGAGGGGAGAGACACAGAGACAGAGACAGAGAGGGGAGAGACACAGAGACAGGAAAACAGGTAAGGGTCACAGAGACAGAGAAGGGAGAGACACAGAGACAGAGAGACAGAGAGGAAAGAGAGACACAGAGACAGAGACAGAGAGAGGAGAGACAGAGACAGGGAGACAGGTAAGAGCCACAGAGACAGAGACAGAGAGGGGAGAGACACAGAGACAGGGAGACAGAGAAGAAAGAGAGACACAGACACAGAGACAGACAGGACAGAGACACAGAGATCAGGAGACAGAGAAGGGAGAGACACAGAGACAGAGACCAAGGGGAGAATCGGGGCAGACAGCCAGAGCAGACAGGACCCAGCAGGAAAGATAAAGACAGGAGCAATGTCAGTGACAGGGACAGAGAGACGAGGCGAGGAGGAGAGACGCAGAGGAGGAGGAGGCAGGGACGAGAGGGAGAGAGAGAAGCCGTCAGACAGCTGAGCACAGGAAGCCCTAGGTGGCAGGGACCTGGGACCCCGGGAGCCGTCCCTGCTCCCGCCCCCACCGCCCGTCCCCATCAGACCCCCCCCCACCCCCGGCTCCCCGGCCAGCAGTGCCTTCACCCGCGGGCAGACAAGATTCAGAAGAAAGAGCCGAGCAAGTGCGGGAGAAGCCTTTAACAGGAAGCCCTCCAGGATTGCACCAGAGGAGGAGGAGGGGCGGGAGTCGAAGAGGAGGAGCGCGGCAGGGTGAGGAGAAAGACACCCTCCGATGAGTGCACACCCTCTGCCAGGCCAGTGAGACCCCTCCTCCGGTTGCCGGGCTCGGTCTGCCCTCCCGAATGCTCCCAGGGTTTGGGGTCCGTGGATCAAAGGGGGCTTGGCCAGGTGGGCCGGAGCGAGACAGAAGCCTGGCTCCCAGGATGCACGTGGGGACAGCCCGGTCCCGGCTGGCAGGCCCAGCGCACCCCGGACACACGCCAGCGCCCCTCCCCTGTGTCCCCGGTCCCCCAGAACCCCACAGCCAGCCCCAGGGATTCAGAGCCCTGCCGCTCAGCGCTGGCTTCCCCACCGGATGTTCAACTGTCATTGTCAACACCTCTCACACACCACATTTATCTTTTTTTAAGAGACAAAAGGTCTGGCTCTGTCACCCAGGCTGGAGTGCTGTGGCACGATCACAGCTCACTGTGGCCTCCAGCTCCCGGCCTCCAGCGATCCTCCTAGGTGAGCCTCCTGAGTAGCTGGGACTACAGGTACGTGCCACCACGCCCGGCTCATTTTTAAACTTTTTTGTAGGCCGGGCGCGGTGGCTCACGCCTGTCATCCCAGCACTCTGAGAGGCCGAGGCGGGAGGATCGCTCGAGGTCAGCCTGAGCAAGAGCGAGACCCTGTCTCTACTATAAATAGAAAGGAATTTATTGGCCAACTAAAAATATATAGAAAAAATGAGCCGGGCATGGTGGCGCATGCCTGTAGTCCCAGCTACTCAGGGGAGGCTGAGGCAGGAGGATCGCTTGAGCCCAGGAGTCTGAGGTTGCTGTGAGCGAGGCTGACGCCATGGCACTCACTCTAGCCTGGGCAACAGAGTGAGACTCTGTCTCAAAAAATGAATAAATAAATAAATAAAAATAAACTTTTTTGTAGCAACGGGGTCTCACTATGTTGTCCAGCTTGGCCTTGAACTCCTGGACTCAAGCAGTCCCCTTGCCCCACCTCAGCCTCCCAAAGAGGCGGGGTTGACAGGTGTGATGCCGTCATGCCCACTTTTGTCCCCACAGCTTTCTCCGCCCTCCCGCCAAAAGCTGCCCCCACGCTGAACCCACGCTCCTGTTTTCTTTCTTCCTTCTCTTTTCCCTTTTTCCTTCCCAAATCAACCCCTCCGTGTGCGCAGCAAAACGCGCACAGGTCACAAAACCCAGCGCCACCACGAGACGCTGACCCCCCGCCGCCCCCGGTGCAGCCCGCGCTCCTCGTGGCCACTCCGCCTGGCGCCCGGCCGCGCGGGGACAGCCACGCGCGCGGCCGCTGTTTTATCTCCTGCACAAACGGTCCCAGCCTCCGCCCGCCCTCGGAGCCGAACCTGCGCGCGCCTCCGTCCCGCCCGCAGGGTGCGCGGGCCCGGGACAGATTCCTAGAAGCACAGTCGCGTTTCTGCCCGCGCACGCCGCGGCCTCCCGCCCCGGGCTGGCCGCTCTGTCCCCGTCGCTGGGACTCCCGTCTCCGGACGGCCGCTGATGAACGCAGCCCGCGGAGAGAGGACGCGGGACAGGGAGGCGGCCCCGAGCACATGCCGGTAGAGGCGGTTTGTTCCCGTCGGGGACGGTACAGGGGCGGATGGCAGAAGGAGCGATGCCCTCCGGAGCCCACGCCAACCTCCCCGCCAGAAAGAACCAAATCTGAAAGGCGGGGGACGCGGGCACCGTGCCTGCCCGCGGGGCAGGCCAGGCGGGCTGGGCTCAGGCGCCCCTGGGCGAGTGGACGCCCCTCTCTGGGCCCCCATCTCTGCGGTATTCCATCTCCGTCTCTGTCTCCTCGCTCTCTCTCCATCCCTGTCTCTCTCTCTCTGTTCCCCTTCCCAGTTCTACCTCTCCCCGCCGCTGTCATTTGCCTTTAGTCTCTCTGCGTCCTTGTCACCCTCCCTGGTCTCGCCCCGCCCAAACCCAAACCCCAGCGCCTGCCGCAGCCTGCCCGGGCTGGAGGGGCCGGCGGGTCCTCAGCTGGGCCAGGCTCGGGCCCTCAGCCCCGGTGGCAGGTGGAGGCGAGGACACGCGTGTGTGTCCCCCGCCGAGGGCGCAGCGGAGGCGCGAGGGACGCAGGGTGCGGGGTCTCGGAGGACGGAGGTGACGGGGAGGGGCGCAGCGGGGAGGGTCCCCAGGACCGAGCGAACGCGCGCGCGGAGGACCGAGCGTGCCCAGAGCGGGAACCAAGCCTCGCCCCGTCTCCCCTGGTCCGCCCATAGTCCGCGAGTCGCCGTCCTCCTCGCTGTCACATCGCGCCACCGCTCCACACCCACGCCGGGTGGCGGCATCGGGGTCAGCGGGGCGGAAGCGCCACCGGTCCCCGCTGGCTTCGGTCACACGCGCGAGGCTATTTATAACGCGGGCGCCGCGCCGGCGGGGGGATGGGGTGGCGGGGAGTCGCCCGGGCGGGGGAGGGGCCACTGCCGCCCCTGTGCCCGGCGGGCGGCGCGGACTCCACGGCCTGGCCCGCGCGCGCGCGCTCGGTGGTGGCGGTGGCGGGTGCGGCCCCGCAGGGCCGACTGGCGACCGCGGCGGCAGGGGGCGGGGCCGGGCAGAGCCTGGCCGCGGAGCGGGAGTCCGGGCTGCGGACCCGCGCGGGGACTGCCTGGCTCTGGGCCTCAGTTCCTGCGTTTGGGAAATGGGGGGACGTGGCCGGCCGGCCCCGCTTTCCTCTCCCCCTTCCTCCTCCTCTTCCTCCCTCTCCCCCTTCCCTATCGTCACCAGGCTCACAGCGCCCTCGCGATGATTGTTAGGAGCGTCACCACTATGTCTGTTATTCGGTTGGGCTGTCACCGTGCCCCTGGCCTGGACTCTGGGGTTCCACACCCCTGGGTGCTGACTGAGGGGGGCGCCAGTCTTGAGGCGCTTGGTCCGCGACCTGCCACGTGGGGATGGGGGTGTGGGGGGGGCAAAGGGTGGCGGTGGGGTGAGGTGGCTGTGGGGTGGAGGAGGGGAAGAATGGGGGAGGGGAGGGTGAGGTGGCGGTGGGTGGGGGGAAGGGTGGGGGAGGGGAGGTGGCGGGGGGTGGGGAGAGAAAGGTACGGTGGGGGGAGGAAGGGTGGGTGGGGAGGGGTGAGGTTTGGCCGTGTGGTGAGGAGGGGAAGAATGGGAGGGGGGAGGGTGAGGTGCAGTGGGGTGGGGGAAGGGGTGGGTGGGAGGGAGGGTGGTAGGGTGGGGAGAAAGGTAGGTGGGGGAGGGAAGGGGTGGGTGGGGGAGGGGTGGGGAGTTCACCGGTCAAGGGCAGCATCTGCAAGCCCACCTGGCCAGGGCCGGCGTGATCAAATCAGCGTGGCCTTGGCATGGGGCGGGGAAGCACAGCGAATCCAGAAATAGATTCTAGACATGTGACAGGCCCATGTGCGGTGCCGGCGGACACTCCAGCGGGCGGCGGCGGGCTCTGTGCGGAAGGGCTTTGGCCCCGCTGGCCTCGCCTGGGGGGGCGGGGGGAGGGTAAATGAGGACTCGTGGCTTCCATTGACAGAAATAACCCACAGCCGCGCCAGCTCGGGAGAGCTCCGGGGATCAGGGATTTGGGCGTATGCTGCGGACCGAGCGGGACTTAGACCTAGGCCCAGCATACAGTAGGCGCTCATTAAATAGTGGACGAAGGCATGACTTCACTGCGTCCTCCAGCAGCCCCGCGAGTCGGAGCCCAGACCTGCAGCGCGCGGCGGGCGCTGTCCACGGTGCTGAACCCTCGACCCTGCTCGCGGGCTCCTAAGGAACCTCGTTGCCCCCGCCCGTGAGCGGGGACCCCTCGTGCAGCCCTGCTCCGGCCGGCACGCAGGGGGCTCTCAGGGCGCGTCCTGCGCTCATGGAGCCCCTTCCCGAGAGCTTTGAGTCCCCGTCAATAAAAAAAACGGCATCGTGGAGTTTCCGTGTCTGCGGCTCACGCTCTTTCCCTAGACCGGGCAGCGTGCCCAGCGCTCTGCGCGTCTCGCCTCATTGGAGACGTCTGGGGAACCTAGGTGGCGGGGCATCGGTGACTCCAGCGTGCCCGTTCTGCAGATGGGCACACTGAGGAACGGAGAGGATGCGGGACTCACGGGGAAGTGTTGGGATGAGGGAAGTGTTGGGATGAGGGAGTCGAGCCCAGGCCTGCTGGTCCCCCCGGGGCTCCCCACAGAGGAAGTCCCTTGCAGGTGGAAGGAAAGTGAGGCCCGCTTGGCGGGAGGGCCGGGCTGCGCCCCTGGTGGTGACTCAGAGCCAACGCTGGGGGGCATCCCCTGGGGACGGAGGGCAGAAAGACCCCGGTGCACACCCCCCTAGCTGGGGGGCGTCAGAGACCGAGTAGCCAGGGGCAGAGGGGCTTGCGAAGCCTTCCTTGGGAGAGCGGCTCACAACGCCGTGCCGGGTGGGGAGGTTGTGACGAGTCCGTTTACCGGAGTGCTTGGCAAAGAAGGCAACCCCAGGACAGAGTCTCGCCCCACGCAAGGGACATGGCTGCCCCCCAGGTCCGGGGGGGATGAGAGGAGCCTCACCCTTCTCCCTGCGTCCCCCTGGGGCAGGCATCGGAGTCCGTCGGCTCCACCCCTGCCTCTGTGACACCAGGCAAGCTGCTAAACCTCCCCTCGCCTCAGTTTTCCTCATCCGTAAAATGGGGCTGCTGTGAGGAGTGAAGAGGACAACGGGCATAAAGCTCCTCCACCTCATGCTTGCAGAGCGCCGCGCCAGTGGGGTTTGTGGTCGCTGCTGCTCTTCGTTGAGAAGCGAAGCCAGCCTGGCACACAGTCAGGGGTTTGATCGCGGCGTTGGTTCACCAGATAAGCACGGCGCCTTTGAAACACCAAGTGACCTGTGCAAAATGCTGCGACGCTCATAGGACGCTCATCTGGAGCTAACTGAGCGCCCCCGCTTGTGCCTGCGCTGTTCCTCCCCCTCCCCCCAGCATCACCCGGCCCCGGTCCCCCCTTCTGAGACTCGGGCAACTGTGGGGGTTCAGGGCAGGCTTCCCAGAGGAAGGGAGCCTTGGACACCCCACTCCCAGGGTGGCTTCACCCCTCCACCTCTGCCTGTCTCCCACCCTGACTCCGTGTGTGTGTGTGGGGAGTGGGCAGCAGCTAGGGCCCAGGCTGGGTCTCCAGAGCTAGGGATAGCCCCTGGCATATAGTAGGTGCTCAATGAATGCTTTTTGGGTAAATGCACAAGCAGCTTCGTGAAGGAATCAGGCGGCACCTGCCATTCCCGGCCTCCACACCCCGCCACCGCGGAGCAGGTGGGTTAAGGGTTGAGGGGTGTGGCAGGCGGGGGCAGGGGCGAGGTCTCCAGGATGACCTGCCGTGTGTGGGCGCTGGGCGTGCACGCGAGAGCTGCGTGGGTCTGTGCTGGCGTGCATGCCCGCAGGGAGCCGTTCGCTCACGTGACCAGGGCCGCAGGGCACGCGCGTGGACACACGCGAGCGGGCGTGGAGGGGAGGGGCGTGTGTGAGCCTGTGGATGACGCGCCCGCGGTCATCCGGGTGCGTGTGCTGTACGGTTCTGTGGCCGCTGCGTTTGTCTGCTCGCACATGCGCACACACGCGTGTGCAACCGTGTGCATAGACGTACGTGTGCGTCGGCACCCGCTTGTCTAAAGGGGCCGCTTTGACTGCCCTTGGCGTGTGCTTGTGTGCGCGCGGGTGTGTCTCGTGGGGTTGGGGGCCTCGGAAGACACCTGTGAGCACATGCCTGAGTGCTGGGGCACGAGGGGGTCTGTATGTGACGCGTGTGTGGTGAACATGCCCTGAACACATCCGCACATGTGTCCGCGAACAGGCACGCGAGTGCTGCGGGGCCCACGTCTGCGGCGGCAGGCTGCGTGCGGCCACGTGCGCACGCCTAAGTGCGGCGCGGGCGGCGAACGCGCGCGTGTGCGCATGCGTGTGCGGCCCCAGGCGCACGGTCCGCGCGGAGTCGTCGTGACCCTCGAGCCCGTTTGCCCCGCAGGGACAGTCTGGGCGTGAATGTGGGCGCAGGCGGGCGTGGGTGCCCCTCCTTGTGGAGGGGGGCCGGGTGTTTCCCCGATTCCGAGGATGCGCTCCGGCCCCACGGACCCCCCTCGCTGCCCGGCTTCACCCCTGCCCAGCCCAGCCCACCTCACCCCTCCCGCCCTCCCCCTGCACCCCCAGCCACCCTCGCCTCCCCCTCCCGGGCTTGCCTCGCCCAGCCTTTCCCCGCCCCCACCCCTCCCTGCCGGCCACTCCTCCCGCACCAGCCCGCGCCTCTTTCCTTACACCCCCGGGCCTGTCGCCCCCCCAGCGACCCCTCCGCCCTGCCGGCCACTCCTTCCTGCAAAGTCCCCAGAATCCCGCCCAGTCCTTCCCCCGGGCCTGGTTCTGGAAGCCTCGTCCCTCCGGCCGCCCCTCCCTTGCGCCGCCCCCGCAGCCGCGCCTCCCGCTTGCGTCAGAGTTGGGGTGAGACCCCCCCACCAGAGAAGCCCAGAGTGCGGGTCGTGAGCTGGGGCGGGCCGCGGGCGTGAAGACAAGAGGGCGCAGTCAGCCGGGAGCACCCACTTCTGGGGGCGCAGTGCCGCCCCCAAGCGTGGGAAGCTCGGAGGGGAGGACGGGGCGACAGGGGGCCGGCGGTCCCTCCCCTGCCCCCTGCCCTTCCTCAGGCTCAGTCACCGGAGGCTGCCTGGGGCTCCCTTCGCTTCCCTGCCCCCCTCATTCAAGGGGACCGCGGGCTGGATGAGTTGACCTCTGACCTTCGGGACCCTTTTCCACCCCCTAACCCAGCCCCGTCCGGCAGAAACAGGTTCAGAGGAAGGGGGCCCCTGTCCCTTTAAGAACACCCGCGTCCACGCCGGCCCAGCCCTGCGCGACTCGCGCGATTCGCACTCGGGAAGCCGGGACGCGGCGCGGCGGGGCGCGGGCGGGCGGGGCCGGGTTTGTGAATGAAGCGGCCCGAGGGGGAGGGGGAGGGGGAGGGGAGGGGCGGCGGGGGAGGTTCCGGGCCCCGGGCCTGCCCACCACCCGCACCCCCCCACTCCCTGACATTCCCTCCCCCACCGCAGCCTTCGGGTGTGCCGGGGCGAGGGGGCGCCCCCCTACCCGGGCTCAGACCCCCGTAGGCCAGCCCCCACCCCGCCGCCAGCTGCCCAGGCCTGAGCTCCCAGCGCGCCCAGCCACACGGCGGGGGAGGGGGAGGGTCATGGCCCTCCCGCGGCTCTCCCTCCCCCACGCGAGGCAGAGCGTGGGCCTGGGCGTGGGCCGCGGCGCAGATGGCGTCCTGGCCCCAAAATAGCTCCCCCGCGGCCCCTCCCTGCCTCCCTCGGGCGCAGAGTGGGAGAGGTGAGGACGGAGGGGGGCAGGGGACGCGGTCTTCCGCGGGGTGGGCTCCGTGTTTGGGGGGCCAGAGGCGGCGGGAGGGGGCGCCCTCGGACCCCCCGTCGGAGCCCTCTCTGGGCCCGGGGGTGGGGTGGGGGGCCCGCCCGTCTCCCGCGCGGGCACGTCCTGGCCACGCGGAGTCCTGACGGCCGGGCCCCCCTACCCGGGTTTTGCCCGCCCGGGGCTCGGAGAACGCTCCGGTCGCCTCCGCTTCCAGTCCCAGGCCACGTCCGCGTCCGCGTCCCCGCGGACCCGCAGTCTGGCCCAAGCGCGGACGCCCCGCAGCCGCCCGCGGGACCCGCTCGCGCCGCCCAGCCCGGCCCCTGCGCGCCAGCCCCCTGATGACCCGGTCTACACGCACGCCCCGGTCCACTCGGTTTCCAGGCAGAGCGCCGGATCCCTGCCCACGTCCACGCGACCCCCCGGGCGGCGGCGGCCAAACCGGGACCCGCTTAGAGCGCGGCCGCGTCTACACGGATCGCCCCCCGCGGGCGCCGCGCCGCGCGGACAACGGCTGCCCCCGCGAAAGCCCGGCCGCGTGGACTCGGGCCGCCCCCTCCGGAGCCCCGCCGCGTCCACGCGGACCCCGCGCCCGGCCCTCGGCCTCGCCCTACCTCCGACGCAGAGCAGAGACATGTCTCCGGCGCGGCCGGCGGCCGGGGCGGCGGGGCGGCGGGGCTGCGGGCGGGCGGGGCGCGCGTTAAAGGGCCGGCGCGGGCAGGGCGCCCCGCCCCCAGGCCTCCCCGACCGCCCCTCTGGAATCTCTAGCCCTCTGAGGTCCCTGTCTGCCTCCCTGACTCCGTTTACCTCTGCCCCTCCCTGGGTCTCCGCTCCTCTCGCTCTGTCCCTGCCTCCCTCTGCGTCCTGTCCCCGTCTCTGGCTCTGTGCTCCTCTCGCTCTAAGCCGCCAGTACGCTGGGCCCTTGCACACACCCCGACTCCAGCCCATCCTTCGCTCCACTGTGTAACGCGGAAAACTCCTATTCATCCATCAACGCCCAGTCCCAACACCGCCTCCTCCGGGAAGCCTTCCCTGACCACCCCAAACTGAGCCTTTACTCCACTCTGGACTGCCCTGAGCCCTCATCCCGTCCTCTGGTTGGGCCCTGACCCCAATGCAGCTCTGCTCACCACCCTTCCCCACGTGTCTCGCTGGGCGGTTCTACGGGGCCCCTCGTCCCACAAACGCACTGACCGCGCGGCCCGGCGCCCAGAGGAGCGCCAGAGGCTGAGCCCGGAAGGCTCTTCTGCCTCCGGCAAACAGGAAGGAGCTTCACAGGGCAACAGGTGTGCGTGGAGTTAGTTATGAGTGAGACCTGTGTTCAAAACCCAACTCTGAGGCCGGGCGCGGAGGCTCACGCCTGTCATCCCAGCACTCTGGGAGGCCGAGGCAAAACCAGCCTGGCAAGAGCGAGACCCCCGTCTCTACCACTAAATAGAAAGAAATTAATTGGCCAAACTAACATATTATAGAAAAAAATAAAAAAGCCGGGCATTCGGTGGTCGCTCATGCCTGTAGTCCAGCAGCTACATCGGAGGCTGAGGCAGGAGATGCATGAGCCAGGAGTCTGAGTTGCTGTGAGCGAGGCTGACGCCACGGCACTCACTCTAGCCTGGGCGACAAAGCGAGACTCTGTCTCAAAAAAAAAAAAAAAAAAAAAAACCAACTCTGCCTGTCACCACCAGCGCAGCCTTGGGCAAGTCACCTGACCACTCTATGCCTCAGTTTCCCCACCTGTAGAATGGGGGTGATAACAAGACCCGCCTCGAATGGTGGCAGGGGATATTTTAGGACCTACCACCTGAAAGCGTTTGCAATCATAATACCCAACAGTAGCTGTTTTTGTGTCCCTCTTGCTGCTTTTACATTTTTTATTCAATATCAGTAGGACACAGGTAAGGAATAAGGAGCAGCCATGCCCGGCTTGGATAAGAAGAACATTTGTCATCACAAGGGATGGTCCCTGTGTCCCCTCCAAAATCTCTTCGTCCTTCCCACAAACTTGGATTTTCATTATCCTCCTTTCTCTCTTTTTTTTTTTTTTTTTTTTTTAGGGGTTGCCACAAGCAGCGCCCGGTTCAGCTTTGCACGTCTCTGCGCTTCACGTGACTGGGATCCAATGTTCCCGCTCCTCACTGACATGTTCCATGTTCCCGGCTGCCATGTGTCCTGGCTGCTGTGCGTGGCTGCGCAGCCGTCCCTGTGGGCAGGGACCCAGGGCCGGGCCTTCCAGAGCTTCCACGAAACATCACGGGCAAGATGGAGATTAACAGGAGAAAGGCCCACACGTTTATGTAACACACGCACACCAAAGTCTGGGATAAAGCCTGGAAAAATGGGGGGAAACTGTCCTTTTTTTTTTTCTTTTTTGAGACAGAGTCTGGCTCTGTTGCCCAGGCTAGAGTGAGTGCCGTGGCGTCAGCCTCGCTCACAGCAACCTCAGACTCCTGGCCCGGCTTACAGGCCAGCTTTAGGGTTCACGGCTGGCTTTGGAGAAGGGGCGTGTCGGTTTCTCCCGCCTGCCTTGGGGAAGAGGGGCTCTACCTCGACGCCCGGCGGGGGTTTGGGGGTCAGGGTGGGACCCGGAGACACAGGAAGGCAGAGGAGGTCAGAGGAGAACTTGAGCTTCCGGGCCCTTCATTCCGGGTATGGTGTTCTGAGCCCCAACATGTGAGCTTCCTTCCCCCCCCAAGACAGAGTCTCGCTCTGTTGCTCAGGCTAGAGTGAGTGCCGTGGCGTCAGCCTCGCTCACAGCAACCTCAAACTCTGGGCTCAAGGGCGATCCTCGGCCGCCTATTCACCTCTCCGGTAGCTGGGAGCCATACAGGCATTGGCGCCACCCTACGGGGCCCGGCTAATTTGTTCCTCTATATATTAGTTGCGTCAATTTAATTTTCTTTCTATTGGATTAGTAGAGACGGGGGTCTCGATCAGGCTGGTTTCAAACTCCTGGACTGGTTTCAAACTCCTGACCTGGGCAGCAATCCGCCCGGCCTCGGCCTCCCCAAGATGCTGGGATTAACAGCGCGTGAGCGCCCGCCGCGCCCACCTGCTTTATGGTTTTAAGAACCCTGCTGGGCCTGCCTGGGGGAGAGCAGGCCCGACCTGTCGGCGGACAGGAATGTAGGTGGCAGGAGGCCAGGAAGCAGTCCGCGAGGATACAGTGGCTGTGGGACTTGTGGGGAGCTCCGGTAATTCTGGAGCCTGAGGCACAGGACCTCCGCCGGCCGTGATGGCCGCGGACACCTGGGACAAGGAAAGAGAAGGACGGAGGTGAGTCCAGGCTCAGCACCTGGGCTGCTGTACGACGGGCGGCCAATGGCAGGGAGAAAGGGAGGACCCGGGGAGGCAGCAGGGGCCTGTGCCGGTCTTGCGAGTTTGGTTTGCTATTTGAGGCGCCCCCCTCCCCTCCCCCCGGGGGAAGTCCGGCGCCCTGGGACGCTTCGTCTGGAGCTCCGGGATCGTCGGGCATGGGGCTGGAGACACCAACAGGGGCACGGTCGTCCGGCATTTGAGGACGGGTGTGGCCGGGCTGGT